CCTTTGTGATCCATGGCTTATTTGATCTGTGATGCTTTCTAGTGATTTTCATTAAAGGACAATGTTTTTCATATAGTGAAATTATGTGACGTTCACTGTGACTGAGGTTCAGCTTAAACAGGCATGTTTTTAAAAACTCATTTCAAAGAACCTCATTTTAATGCTGACTCATCAGTTTCCTAATCTGTACAATGAATTAAAAGGAAAATGTGCTACTTAACAAAACCCTTAGTCTTAATGCTCTGCACACTGGTAAATATGTTTTGGTAAATCTGGTGTTGTGTGTAGATCTGATGGAGACTTCAGGGCTTCACAGGACTCAGCGTCTCGGTCCGGGATACAGCTGTCAGCGACTCAGGTGTCAGAAACAACTGCAGGAACAAGCAACAGTTTTGTTTCATATTTCTTATGTTCAGCAAAACTAAAAATGTCTCCAATAAAACAAAAATATTGGTAAAATATATGTTGTGCACTATTTTTTCTTAATTTTCTAACATATCTCTTATTCCCTGTTCTGGCTGACCCCTGTGCTGCAGTAATGTGAATTTCCCCAGTGTGGCTTTAATAAAGTCTGGGTCTAAATAATGAAGCTTTACAAAAAATAACTGTTTAGACTGATGCTGTATAAAATGTCAGGTACTCTGTGTTTGTCCTTTGGTGTGCGCTGCATTACTGGTCCAGCATGTAACATTTGTCACCGAAACCGACTGTTTATTTATTTGTATTACATCTGCGTGTGAAACACGTTTAACCTTTAACACACTGGCACCAGCTACATACAGGGGAGTGTTTTAAATCAAAAAGATGAAGTAACGTTAGTAAGACATTCATCTGGATTCATTTTGGACACAACTGTAAATGTAAATATCTCAATGTTTCGACCACATTAAGCTTTAATTAACATTAACTGCCACGGCTCAAAGCAACAACAGGTCTGAAAACACAGAAAACTATTATAATCTAAAAGACAGAAAACTTTGACAAATGACAAAAACAGTGTAAAATTTCTTACCAAATTTAATTACAGTTGGGTTTTTGGGTGCCTCATAAATGACTTCATAGCTGTACTTAGACTTGTCATCCTTTGAAATCTCCACATGGGCTCTTATCTCTAAGGTGCCGTCTTTGTTTATCTCAGTGCCTGATCTCATCAGACCCTTCTCTTCAGTTTCTGATCTCATCAGACCCTTCTCTTCAGTTACAGTCTCCCCGTTACGCTTGATCTGCACGTCGATGGCTCCCTGGCCTTTGGCGATGCATGTCAAGAGGATTTTTTCACCGTCCTTCGAGTTCTGTGCATAACCCTGAACTTGAGCTGGAAGGAGAAAATATAAAGTGATGTCCTCAGGGTGGATCGACACATGAGAACTGTACCTCTGATACCCCCCAACTAACTACTGAAAACAGGAGCTCTGCTGGAACGAGCAGGAAATGAATCCAGATGAATGTCTTGAGCATCTGAATCAAAAATACTTTCCAACACTCACAATGTGACTGCTCCTTGAAGATGAGCCAAAACGATACAGCTGTGGCACACCTGTCACGTACCAGCTACACTTTGTGCTCCATCAGTTTTTTGCTTATTGCACGTTTCTCCTGTTTCTGCAGCAGCGCCTAATCTGACCGCATCGCCCACGTGTGACCACAGGCACTGACTCCAGGCCTGCTGTTAGTAGCATGTCCGTCTGTTTGTTAGCTAGCAAGCAGCTTCCTGTGTGAGCGTGTTACATCCTGTTAGGCAGGTCTGAGCTGAACACATCTTATTGTTTTTAAGAGTTGTAGATTAAATTTCACATGTTTGTGTTGCTCATCAAACGCTCAGCATGTTAGTCCAAACTATGACTGAGATGATCGATTATCACCATGATTCTGTTCTGACCAATGAACCGAGTCCTGTTTTAGTGTTTTGGGGCTTTTGTTCCCCAGACTGTCTTTGAGTTTCCACGCTTCACTTCATCATTCATTTCCTTTGTGACTCGGCAGAGGTCGGGATCACAGTGAGGAACAGACTGCTGCTAACAGAAATGTTTCAGTGTGTGTCAGAAGCTTCAGCTCCTCAGCGCTGCAAAGGTTATTTCATTATAACTGGAAGGCTTAATGAACATATTCACAGAATTCCAACTTTTTAAACTTCTGTGAGGGGGCTGCAGACGAAAAATTAGGTATACACTGACCCTCACATGGCAACGACTTCAGGATATGATCTATAAATTCATAAACCTGCAGACACATCTGCTGAAACTGCTTTTAACTTTACATCCTCATAGAGTTCAAATTTCATTAATTAAATAAAATTTGAGTATTTCTTTGAAATTGAAAGCTTAAATAAGTAATTGTTGATAAACTTAGAGTGCAAAATTAAAAATTAACAGCTTAGAGAGATCCACATGTGAGGAAACATTTAAAGCTGTTGTCTTTCTGTCACTTCTGTTTAATCTTTTATTTATGAACTGCAGGTTAAAATCAGCTTTCAGGTTTTCACCACTGCTGCTGTATAAATACTTTTACTCGGGATGGACCGATCTGGTATTACGTATCAGTCAGATCCTGACCTAAATTACTGGATCGCATATTGGGAAGAAATAAAACACGTAATCCGATCCATTAAATATCACAAAAGCACCTCACAAATCTTGCGACATGGCGTAACCCAGGCAGTGACCGGAGCACGTCGGAGCATAACGTATGACGTGATGTTGCGTGCGAGACCTGTCGGCGGTCTGGAGTTCACACTGAAAACATCTGGAGCCTCACTATGTGCTGCCAAACCAGGTGTTGTGCCAAGGTCAGCATCCCAGACAAAATTAGTTCCCACTGCGTTAAATATCTCAAGTTATATGTGATAGAAACAGCTTACACTGACGTCCATGTATCACGGCGTGTTTGCATTTATTTGCACCGCTCTCCACTCTGGATATCTGTTTATGTTCAGCTTTAAGCATAAAAGGGTCCATTTTTTTTAAAAGCTGTTAAATATAAACATTATTTTGTGCTGATATTGCGCTTCTTTTTTTCAGAACCAAAGAGTTTTTGAAATCTGCAAAAAATTGCATTTTAAAATACTTTTTGAATATTACCTGAAATAGTTAGAGTTCAAGTAATGTTAAAAGTTCTGTTAAAAGTTTAAATATAAAGATCAGTATTGTTGAACTGTGAACTAGTTTGGCTGCAGTGTATTTTTTGCATACAAGCATAATAGAATAGTTTTAGTGTTTTGTTTTTTATTATTAAATTTTAGTATGAACTTAGTACAAAATGCAGGAAGACATAAAAACAGTTTTATTGATTATAAAATAGACTATATTAGCTTCGTATCAGTATCGGCAGATATCTAAATTCATGATATCGGTATCGGGCATAAAAAGTGATATTGTGCCATCTCGAATAATAATTACCACATAAACACTTCAAATATCAGAAAAATCAACATTTAACTAAATCCAGAGCAGAGACATAAAGTACTGGCCTGACCTGACCTGAGGTCTATCTGTTAACACACAAAAGACCAAACAACATTTTTATTCAGGCAGTGCTTCATGTTTGATTCTTTTACCTGTATTCATATTTAAAAAGACATTTTAACAAAAATGTTAAAGAGCAGTGACTACTTTTGACACTGAAAGTGTCCGCTTACACATCACAGCAGACTACTGTCAGGATGATATTTTTTGGGCCAAACGGACTCTGAACAGACTGTCCCGAACTAGATGAATAGAATCAGTATCAGGATAATATTAAATAATCATGACTAGGCAGGGAGGTGTTTTGGAGAAGGAGGAGATACAAGGTCAGACGTGAGCGGAGAAGGGGCCTCGAAGGGAGACAACAAGACTGTCACGTCGGTTCTGGAAGAAGACAGTGATAATAATGACGTGTTATTGTTTGGGCATAAAACTTTACAGCCTGAGTGAGCTTCAGACCAACTCTGAAATCATCATCAGGCCTCAGTCAGCAGCATGTTCATTAACATGCAGTGTGAATGAATCACATGCTGAAGTGTAATCCTACAGTTTACTGTGATCCAGACTAACTGTTGTTGAAAAGTTTCAGTTCTACATGCAGATGTGTCTGAGTGGAGACGGTGGAGGAAACGAGCTGCACACTATCAGCAAACATCAATCATTTCTGTTCTGCACAGAAAAACTACATTTATGTGCAGCCCGTTCTCACTCCCGAGGCGTAACATGTCGACGTTTTGTCACGTCCCGCGGCGTTCCTGAGGAACGCGAAAGGAGACCTTCGGCGTTCTTATGGTACGCGGCGGGTTATGGCTGAAATCCAGTGCAATGACGCTCCCGCGGTAATAGACGTTCCAGCCCTAAACCTACCCATATGGAAAAGATATATATAAATCTTATAAAGTTTGTATCTGTCTTGTATGAAACTTGTATGAAAAGCATACAGGAGTGAAAACAGATATAAGATCCCTTGAAAAATTATATAATGAAACTTGTATGTTTTGGATACTTACTAAAACAATATATGAAAGTAATGAGAAAGTGGCCGCTTTCATGAGTAAATCATGTTTTTACCATTTCTTTTCCATATGGGTAACCTTATCGCTAGCCCTAACCATAACCTTATTCCTGACCTTAACCAGGACTTTAATGACGTTAAATAGTGTGTTTGTAAGCGATTTGAAGAAAAAGAGCGAACATGTGTAGATTGAGTCCAGACGGTTCTCATATGTCCTCATTTTTCCGAGGTCGTCATTTAGGAACGTAGTGGGTACAACCAACATATGTATTAGTATATTGTACGTACCAGGATTGACAACATTAGATAAGAGCAACAGAACCACAGCTGGAACTGCAAACATCGCAGCCACCAGTACCAGTAGGACTGTAACTGTGGGCCTCAGAGCTCTGCTCCTAACAGTGTCACTCAGCTGAGTTCTCTCTGAAACACAGGAAACGTTCACATTGGAACAATTTAAAGACAACAACATGAAATAAGTCATTATTGCAGGCGAGAAACATGAAGAGCAATGTGTTGAATACTGAGCAGGAAAGGAAACCAATAAAATATAGGAACGTAGCGATATACACGAGGCTGAAACTACAAAGTGGCAGGCACAGAGAAGGCATCGACACCTCCAGCCTTCTGATGTCCTCCTTCACCACATCCATGAACCTCATCTGAGGTCCTCCTCTTCTCCTCCTGCCTGGCAGCTCCATCATAGCCACCCTCCCTCCTCTGCACATGCTCAGACCACCTCAGCCTCTCTGACTCGTAGCTGTCCTTCTGATGGACTCATCTCCATCCTTCTCACTCTCAGCGAACATCTGAACATCTTCAGCTCAGCCTCCACCTTTTCCAAACCACCACAGCAGGTCTCACCACCATCTTTCACTTTTGCTGATTACCTTCTGCCACAAATCACCTGAACATCAGCACCAGTACACAGGCCTCTCTCACTTTCCACAATTCTCTTAAACAGGCTGGTTAAAGAGTCCACCGCCGAGCTCCAGTGCTCCTGGTCTTGCTTCCTTTCCTGCTCTCCTGCATGCACCGTCCTTCTCTCCATCACATCAGCAGCTCTCTCCCTTTACCAGTTATAGTTCCTACATTTAGAGTCCTACTCTCAGCTTCACATTCCTGCCTTTCCTTCTCTCTCACTGCCTCCTAACACACCTTCTCCTCCTCCTTTTTTTTCGTCTCGTTTGGGTTGGCTTGGAGCGTGGGCTCGTTTGTTCTTTGTTTGTTGCCGTCATCATCGTCGCGGGTAAGTTACCAGTGTCCTTTGTTGGCTCTGTTTTTCTGGTTGGCAGTTTTTTCTTGTGTGGGGGAAGGGTGTTTGTAGTGGGTGTGTTAGTATGGAGTTTAAATTAGAGGAGTTCACCATGAGTCCAACTACGCACTAAGTGATTCAGATCCAACAAGCGCGCCACCCGACTGTTTCAGTAGAGCTTCAGCCTGATAAGAAAGCTATGACACTCTCAGTAGCTAAAGACAAGCTTATAGAAGCTCAGAAAAATGATGAAAGCTTGTCATCCTGTTGGGCTTATGTGAAGGAACCTAAGTGTGGGAAATCTGCATCTTACCTCATTGAGGATGGGGTGCTGATGCGCTACTAGACTCCCAGTTCTGGCTGCACCCATGAGGGAGTGCAGCAAATTGTTCCGCAGTCATTCTGTTCCCAGGTCCTAAGCTTAGCACATGACCACATCATGTCCGGTCAATTAGGAATCACAAAAACATACAACCGTGTCCTCCGTTAGTTCTTCTGGCCTGGTCTATCTGATGTAGTAAAATTCTGCTGCTCGTGCCACACATGTCAGCTTGCCGGTAAACCAAATCAGGTGATTCCGGCTGCTCCGTTAAAACCCATCCCAGTCGTTGGGGAACCATTTGAGCATGCCATTGTTGATTGTGTTGGTCCTCTTCCAAAAACAAAGTCCGGAAACCAATACCTCCTCACCATGATGTGTACTGCCACCTGCTGTCCTGAGGCCATTCCGTTGCGCTCATTACAAACCCGTGGGATTGTGAAAGCACTTGTTAAGTTCTTTTCTACCTTTGGACTGCCTAAATGCATCCAAACAGATCAGGGCACAAATTTTATGTCTAAAATCTTTGCCCAGGTCATGACAGAGCTCGGTGTCACACACTTCCAGCGTGTATCACCCGGAGAGTCAGGGTGCATTAGAAAGGTTCCACCAAACTCTGAAAAACATGCTTTGCAAATTTTGCATTATGGTGGACATAGCCAAAGTCAGTGTGATAGCTTCTCAAGGGGATCAACCACTGTAAGAGGTGTGAGGGAGTGTGAACTCTTTCTTTGGGGAAAACCAAAGGTGTAAACCAGCTGTGTACTGCCTTTTGTTTTGTAGAAGGTATTTAAACCCAGGGCTGTGTTGGAGGGAGAGACTCTGCTGGTCAGTGTCCTGATAGCCGCTCTCTCTCTCACCAAGCTTGGGTTTTTATTAAAGGATGTCAGCTCCCACTCACCGTTGTCTGCAGGCTTCATTAAATGAAAACTTCCATAACACCTGTAACCAGATATAATGCACAGTAGTTCCCCTAACACTGTATAAAATCTACCAAAAGCTCATGTGATGACCGTGACTGCACAGCATCAGTTAGCGCTCTGTAGTCGGGCTCATAGTTGGACACACCCAGTCTCAAACAGTCAGGAAGGTGTTTGTCAGTCGTGTCTTTCACTGCACAACAGGAGAGGACATTTTTCTCTGCTCACAAGTTCCCAGGCGTTGCTCTCCTTTGCCCTCGACTTCAGTTTGGGCTTTTCTTCATCTACAGGTTGCTTGGGCGCAAAGCAGGCAGACTGTTCTGTCATCGACCAAAGTGAATAAAAACTCAAGCTCCCATTCTGAATGAGAGGGGTAGGTTTTCGGCTTCTTACGGACGCCATCTGCCATCTTACCCTGCTACACGTCTGCAGTTTCAGCCAAACGACTCTGCAGCCAATCAAACATCACGAGACATTCAGAGAAGTGACTGAACTTCTGATAGGTTAAGGTAATATGTTAATAGCCTAAAATGCTTTGCGACCTACTTTCATTGACAGGTTGATCGACTGGTTAGCGAACCCTGCTTTAGTGTAACAGCCGGGCAGATTTAGATTCTGAGAAAATACAATGAGTACAAGTAACCCCCCCTCAAAAAAAAAAAGAAATTGTTTTTTGAAACTCATTCAGTGAGAAAACATGTAAGAGAGCTACTGTTTTGGCTGAAATGTAACACTTTCACAGCAGAACCACAGTTACCATGAAGCTCAAACTGGGATTTTGACTGGCCTCAGAACTGATTACTGTCTGACACTGATCACCTGATTTTACCTACAGTTTGTTCAAAATTCATTTTAGTTGTAACTGAAATGATACCTGCCTTTCAAACAGAACTCCTACACACCAGGTGATACTCAAAGACATAAACTTCTGGGTCACAACTAACTTAAAAGACAAACAAACAAACATTTATTACTAAATCTACTTACTCTAAACTCTACTAATGAAGATTATAACAACAGAAAGATTATTAAACACATACGGGCTTCTTCTAGTTGCTTTTCCCCCCTAACCAAGAACATCTTCAGCCATTTGATGCACACATTCTCCAGGTATCCCTTGATGCGCTCTTTCATGGCCTGATCACTGTCCCACTCTCTCATGGTGAGTTGGGCCTCCTGAATCCAGGATTTGGTTTTAGAATCGAAGGAAAGGAGGTCATTTCCATCATAGGCGTACGTGTGCATAGCGCGATGAAACTTGAGCGTGCCATCAGGCTGCATTTTGCCCTCACAGCCACGCATCCCCTGAAGAACGTGGACAACTGAAAGACGGGCGAAATAAATAAAGGGCAGGTTAGAGATTAAAAAACCTTCTGATGTAAACAAATGAGCAGGAACAACTTTGTCCTGACTTGAAAAACGTAAAAGACATTTTTATAGAGAAACGCTTCAGTTGGAGATCAACTTGGTGCTCTTGTTAATGGTGCTCGACATTTCGTGGAGCTTACCCGAGTCATTCTGTCTCTTTCGATTCATTAGGCTTTCTAACCACTGTTCCTCTGTGCCTTTTCCCCAGTACTCAGCAGATAAACACTCTCTCATCCACTCCTGTTTGGGACCTTTCCTCTCACTCTCACTGTCGTAGTACTCGATCCTCCTGCCGTCCAGCAAACCCATGGCTGTGAACTTGTGGATGCCCGGAGTGCCGCCGGGTTTGGAGAGCGCCGTGTAGATGCAAGTGAGGGAGTGAATCTCTGAAAGTCACAAAGGGAAGAAAAACATAGAAAGATATTTATTTACGCTGCACAGCTGAGAAGCTCCAGCTGACTGCGCTCTCTTCTTCACTGTCTGTTGCTTGTTTAATAAATCTACCTTCACTACCTCTGCTCCTCACATGTTCACCTTTCCACCTGTGTCCCTCTCGTTCACACACATCTATTCTGTCTTGCATCTACTGACTTTCATTCCTCTTCTGTCCAGAGCATACCTTCACCTCTCCAGGCTCTCCTCCACCTGCTCCCTATTACCTCAACTCCATTTCTCCTCATATCTACACCAGTGTCATAAAAGGTTTTCTGCAAACTCAGCTCAGTCTGCCCAGCAGATGGCGCTAACTCTCACAGTGCTTCCAGTACTCTTCAGGTGTGACAGTGATCTGTGTAGGAGTTAGATGACTGCATCATTCCCCCCAGTACCAGGACGGTGAGTGAACTGCAGGAGGGCCAGCAGCGTGCTCACCAGAGGTGGGAGGTAAATGACCTGATACCATCCAGGCCTGTTGCTTTTCTGGACTTAATCTTCTTCAGCTCCTTCCTCACATGATCAGCACTCGAGAAGGGAGGGGTTTGTCAGGTGAGGGGGCGAGAGGCAAGGATGTGAAGTGGTGACACACTAAATGTGGGAGTGATATTTGGATTGGAGGGTGGTGGTGGAGGGGTGAGACAGGGGGAGGAAGGATGCATGGGGCAGTCTCAGGTGGTGTGAAGTAGGGTAGCAGATGTGGGTGGGGTCTGACAGTGCCATGATGCCTGCCGCGTCGCTGTGTCGTGAGCCAATTTTGTCGGCCGTGCACGTCTCAATGTTGGTAACGTGGTGTGTTGTGCCGCGGCCATCGCAGCTGGGTTGAAGGGAGGAGAGTTTGATGGTGTTGGGTTTCCCTGCCACTTTCACAACGTCCCACAGAAGCTCAGAGACATACACAGAGATGCTGGAACAGGCTGGAAACTCGAGTTAGTGGAAAAAGTCTTGGCTTCTGCTTTTGACTTCTCCTCCTCACTGAGCTGGTGATACCGTCTGAGTGACAACATCTGTTGCTCAAGCCAAGACTTTATGCCAGATTAGGCCGCTTCGATGTATTTTCTTCACAAGATGCTGAAGATTAATAAAATAGAATCTAAAATAATTCTACTAACTAATGAGCAGTTTTATAAACAACATGGGGAGGTTTGGGCAGGTCCCTACTAACGAATCACACACACACGCACGCGCACTCAGACGCGCGCGCGCGCAACTTCTGATTTCTAAAAGTTCATAATCATGAGTAAACCGACCTCTGCGTGTCTGCTGTACCCGTGCGCTCGTGTTACATCACTGTCATGAAGTAAATAAAAACGCCTTATATGTTCCGTGAAGTAACGGTCCTTCTTCACTTTCATTAAAATGTCCTGAAAAAGTAAACTCACCGCTGTTGGCAGCCAGTCCTGCCCCCAGAAGGACGAGAACTGTGACGAAGAACATGTGACACATACAGGAGACCTTCTTCTCATTTCTAAACTCGCTTTTATTTGATTTTTCCACCGTGTTTCTTCTTCATCTTCTGAGATACCTATTTCCTGCCCGCGGCGCGTTCACTGCCTGCTCTGAATTTACATATAAATGTGGCGTTCAATGCACGTGTATTTTTTCGCGTGTTTTGTGTCTACCAGTGAGTTTTAGGACCATATTAAGAAAAAAATGATTATCAATCATTTTGAGATTGAAGCTGAAATGTGGAGATTACAGTTGTTGTTCAAGACAATCTGCCATCTGTGCCCTCTCAGATAGTGAAACCCTACTTTTCCTTTCTTGTTATTAACCGTTTTTAGTAACAAAGAATAAAGAAATTATTTGTCTTTTAGAACACAAATATATTACTGTGGTGATACGTATAAGGACGCTGGAGCGAGTGCACAAAACAGAATCTAGTCAGATGTAAAACACACAAACTGTGAGGAGTGGATTGGACAAAATGAAACAGCTGGTCATGGAAAGATGTGCAACTCATCTCAACAAAGCACTTTGTAGAGCAGGAGTGGGCAACTCCAGGCCTCACGAGGGCCGGTGTCCTGCAGGTTTTAGATCTCACCCATGTGTCAACACACCAGAATCAAATGATTAGTTCATTACCAGGTCTGTGGAGAACTTCAGGACGTGTTGAGGAGCTAATTTAGCCATTTAAATCAGCTGTGTTGGATCAAGGACACATCTAAAACCTGCAGGACACCGGCCCTCGAGGCCTGGAGTTGCTTTGTTGTAGGGGCTACAGCAAACGTGGCAGTTTGTCTTGAAACAATAACAATAACATCCACATTTCGACTTTATTATCAAAAAGATCAAGAGCACATATATTTTTTACTTAACATGCCTCCAATACTCTCATTTCTCTGTGTTCGAGCTTCTCCTTCCTGAACTTTTAAACACATTTCAGAAATCAAAGAAGGGGATCCTCAGCCTGTACATGTGACTGTCTGATGGGAGCACAACATTTCTGTTAAATATATGATGATACAAACTTGTGCATTTACAAACTGTATGAAATGTCTCACCTTTACCCTGTACCTCTGCTAAAAAGATATATTTTTATATTTATTATTAATATTTATTAGTGCCCAACAAATTGAACACATCAATGTGAGCATCCTCTGTTTTCAGCCGTCTTCTTTAATAATAATAATAATGATAATAC